TTCCTGTCTAAGGGCACATCTGTCCAGAAATCGAGTTGGAATGTCTTCTAGGGTCCCTTCGGCATCTTTCCTGTTAGTTTGGCGCAATTTCATTTTTTGGCCAAAATTGAAAAAATTGCAAGGGGTTAGCCTTACTTTTTCATCAAATTTGGCCAAAAAATGACTTTTCTCCAGACGATGCAGATATGACTTTTGATGCAAGGAGAGTATCTAACAATATTCATACTGCCATTATTTCTAAGATTTGGGCACAAATAATCGATTTATTGAGAAAAATAAATCATATTTTTCAATGATTTTGACCCAAATTCTCGACGCATTGTTCCTGTCTAAGGGCACATCTGTCCAGCAATCGAGTTGGAATGTCTTCTAGGGTCCCTTACGCATCTTTCTTGAAAATTTGGAGCAATTTCATTTTTTGGCCAAAATTGAAAAAATTGCAAGGGGTTAGCCTTACTTTTTTCTTCAAATTTGGCTAAAAAATTAGTTTTCTCCAGACGATGCAGAAATGACCATTGATGCAAGGAGAGTATTATAGAATATTCAGACTGCCATTTCTAAGATTTGTGCACAAATAATCGATTTATTGAGAAAAATAAATCATATTTTTCACTGATTTTGACCCAAATTCTCGACGCATTGTTCCTGTCTAAGGGCACATCTGTCCAGAAATCGAGTTGGAATGTCTTCTAGGGTCCCTTCGGCATCTTTCCTGTTAGTTTGGCGCAATTTCATTTTTTGGCCAAAATTGAAAAAATTGCAAGGGGTTAGCCTTACTTTTTCATCAAATTTGGCCAAAAAATGACTTTTCTCCAGACGATGCAGATATGACTTTTGATGCAAGGAGAGTATCTAACAATATTCATACTGCCATTATTTCTAAGATTTGGGCACAAATAATCGATTTATTGAGAAAAATAAATCATATTTTTCAATGATTTTGACCCAAATTCTCGACGCATTGTTCCTGTCTAAGGGCACATCTGTCCAGCAATCGGGTTGGAATGTCTTCTAGGGTCCCTTACGCATCTTTCTTGAAAATTTGGAGCAATTTCATTTTTTGGCCAAAATTGAAAAATTTGCAAGGGGTTAGCCTTACTTTTTTCTTCAAATTTGGCTAAAAAATTAATTTTCTCCAGACGATGCAGAAATGACCATTGATGCAAGGAGAGTATCATAGAATATTCAGACTGCCATTTCTAAGATTTGTGCACAAATAATCGATTTATTGAGAAAAATAAATCATATTTTTCACTGATTTTGACCCAAATTCTCGACGCATTGTTCCTGTCTAAGGGCACATCTGTCCAGCAATCGAGTTGGAATGTCTTCTAGGGTCCCTTCGGCATCTTTCCTGTAAGTTTGGCGCAATTTCATTTTTTGGCCAAAATTGAAAAAATTGCAAGGGGTTAGCCTTACTTTTTCATCAAATTTGGCCAAAAAATGACTTTTCTCCAGACGATGCAGATATGACTTTTGATGCAAGGAGAGTATCTTACAATATTCATACTGCCATTATTTCTAAGATTTGGGCACAAATAATCGATTTATTGAGAAAAATAAATCATATTTTTTAATGATTTTGACCCAAATTCTCGACGCATTGTTCCTGTCTAAGGGCACATCTGTCCAGCAATCGAGTTGGAATGTCTTCTAGGGTCCCTTACGCATCTTTCTTGAAAGTTTGGAGCAATTTCATTTTTTGGCCAAAATTGAAAAATTTGCAAGGGTTAGCGTTACTTTTTTCTTCAAATTTGGCTAAAAAATGACTTTTCTCCAGACGATGCAGAAATGACCATTGATGCAAGGAGAGTATCATAGAATATTCAGACTGCCATTTCTAAGATTTGTGCACAAATAATCGATTTATTGAGAAAAATAAATCATATTTTTCACTGATTTTGACCCAAATTCTCGACGCATTGTTCCTGTCTAAGGGCACATCTGTCCAGAAATCGAGTTGGAATGTCTTCTAGGGTCCCTTCGGCATCTTTCCTGTAAGTTTGGCGCAATTTCATTTTTTGGCCAAAATTGAAAAAATTGCAAGGGGTTAGCCTTACTTTTTCATCAAATTTGGCCAAAAAATGACTTTTCTCCAGACGATGCAGATATGACTTTTGATGCAAGGAGAGTATCTTACAATATTCATACTGCCATTATTTCTAAGATTTGGGCACAAATAATCGATTTATTGAGAAAAAAAAAAGCATATTTTTCAATTATTTTGACCCAAATTCTCGACGCATTGTTCCTGTCTAAGGGCACATCTGTCCAGCAATCGAGTTGGAATGTCTTCTAGGGTCCCTTACGCATCTTTCTTGAAAATTTGGAGCAATTTCATTTTTTGGCCAAAATTGAAAAATTTGCAAGGGGTTAGCCTTACTTTTTTCTTCAAATTTGGCTAAAAAATTAGTTTTCTCCAGACGATGCAGAAATGACCATTGATGCAAGGAGAGTATCATAGAATATTCAGACTGCCATTTCTAAGATTTGTGCACAAATAATCGATTTATTGAGAAAAATAAATCATATTTTTCACTGATTTTGACCCATATTCTCGACGCATTGTTCCTGTCTAAGGGCACATCTGTCCAGCAATCGAGTTGGAATGTCTTCTAGGGTCCCTTACGCATCTTTCTTGAAAGTTTGGAGCAATTTCATTTTTGGGCCAAAATTGAAAAATTTGCAAGGGGTTAGCCTTACTTTTTTCTTCAAATTTGGCTAAAAAATGACTTTTCTCCAGACGATGCAGAAATGACCATTGATGCAAGGAGAGTATCATAGAATATTCAGACTGCCATTTCTAAGATTTGTGCACAAATAATCGATTTATTGAGAAAAAAATCCCATATTTTTCACTGATTTTGACCCAAATTCTCGACGCATTGTTCCTGTGTAAGGGCACATCTGTCCAGAAAACGAGTTGGAATGTCTTCTAAGGTCCCTTAGACATCTTTCATGGAAGTTTGGCGCAATTTCATTTTTTGGCCAAAATTGAAAAAATTGCAAGGGGTTAGCCTTACTTTTTCATCAAATTTGGCCAAAAAATGACTTTTCTCCAGACGATGCAGAAATGACTTTTGATGCAAGGAGAGTATCATAGAATATTCAGACTGCCATTATTTCTAAGATTTGGGCACAAATAATCGATTTATTGAGGAAAAAACCCATATTTTGCACTGATTTTGACCCAAATTCTCGACGCATTGTTTCTGTCTAAGGGCACATCTGTCCAGAAATCGAGTTGGAATGTCTTCTAGGGTCCCTTCGGCATCTTTCCTGTAAGTTTGGCGCAATTTCATTTTTTGGCCAAAATTGAAAAAATTGCAAGGGGTTAGCCTTCCTTTTTTCATCAAATTTGGCCAAAAAATGACTTTTCTCCAGACGATGCAGAAATGACTTTTGATGCAAGGAGAGTATCATAGAAAATTCAGACTGCCATTATTTCTAAGATTTGGGCACAAATAATCGATTTATTGAGAAAAAAACCATATTTTGCACTGATTTTGACCCAAATTCTCGACGCATTGTTCCTGTCTAAGGGCACATCTGTCCAGCAATCGAGTTGGAATGTCTTCTGGGGTCCCTTCGGCATCTTTCCTGTAAGTTTGGCGCAATTTCTTTTTTTGGCCCAAATTGAAAAAATTGCAAGGGGTTAGCCTTACTTTTTTCCATCAAATTTGACCAAAAAATGACTTTTCTCCAGACGATGCAGAAATGACTTTTGATGCAAGGAGAGTATCATAAAATATTCAGACTGCCATTATTTCTAAGATTTGGGCACAAATAATCGATTCATTGAGAAAAAAACCCATATTTTCCACTGATTTTGACCCAAATTCTCGACGCATTGTTCCTGTGTAAGGGCACATCTGTCCAGAAATCGAGTTGGAATGTCTTCTAGGGTGCCTTAGGCATCTTTCCTGGAAGTTTGGGGCAATTTTATTTTTTGGCCAAAATTGAAAAAATTGCAAGGGGTTAGCCTTACTTTTTTCATCAAATTTGGCCAAAAAATGACTTTTCTCCAGACGATGCAGAAATGACTTTTGATGCAAGGAGAGTATCATAGAATATTCAGACTGCCATTACTTCTAAGATTTGGGCACAAATAATCGATTTATTCAGAAAAAAAACCCATATTTTTCACTGATTGTGACCCAAATTCTCGACGCATTGTTCCTGTGTAAGGGCACATCTGTCCAGAAAACGAGTTGGAATGTCTTCTGGGGTCCCTTAGGCATCTTTCCTGTAAGTTTGGCGCAATTTCATTTTTTGGCCAAAATTGAAAAAATTGCAAGGGGTTAGCCTTACTTTTTTCATCAAATTTGGCCAAAAAATGACTTTTCTCCAGACGATGCAGAAATGACTTTTGATGCAAGGAGAGTATCATAAAATATTCAGACTGCCATTATTTCTAAGATTTGGGCACAAATAATCGATTTATTGAGAAAAAAACCCATATTTTTCACTGATTTTGACCCAAATTCTCGACGCATTGTTCCTGTCTAAGGGCACATCTGTCCAGAAATCGAGTTGGAATGTCTTCTAGGGTCCCTAATGCATCTTTCCTGGAAGTTTGGCGCAATTTCATTTTTTGGCCAAAATTGAAAAAATTGCAAGGGGTTAGCCTTACTTTTTTCATCAAATTTGGCCAAAAAATGACTTTTCTCCAGACGATGCAGAAATGACCATTGATGCAAGGAGAGTATCATAGAATATTCATACTGCCATTATTTCTAAGCTTTGGGCACAAATAATCGATTTATTGAGAAAAAAAAAAAAATCTTTTTCACTGATTTTGAATCAAATTCTCGACGCATTGTTCCTGTCTAAGGGCACATCTGTCCAAAAATCGAGTTAGAATGTCTTCTAGGGTATCTAAGGCATCTTTCCTGGAAGTTTGGTGCAATTTCATTTTTGGCCAAAATTGAAAAAATTGCAAGGGGTTAGCCTTACTTTTTTCATCAAATTTGGCCAAAAAAATGACTTTTCTCCAGACGATGCAGAAATGACTTTTGGTGCAAGGAGAGTATCATACAATATTCAGACTGCCATTATTTCTATAGTATTTTGGCAGGCAGACTATTGCAGACTTCCAAAGGTGGCAAGGATCCACAACATGGACCTGTTGTTTCAACTTGTCTCTAGAAACCAATTTTTTAAAACGACAGGATTTTTCTCTAAATATATTGCTAGAATTACAATGCACTGGTATGAAGCTATTATTTAAAAAAAAATCTATTTTTTTTCTTTTACTTTAAACAAAGTATTCAATTTTACAAGTCACATTTCTGAACGTTGAATAAAGGTATACAAATATAAGACTTTTTAATATAAAGGATAACAATAAGTGAAGTCTGTTATGAACACGTAATTATTCAAAATCACTGATCCAAAAATGAAAAAATGTACTGCTCCATTTTAGTTACCTGTTTCTTAAAACGTTAGTGGTATTAATTGCAAGATTTCAAAGTTCAAATATCTTCACACACACAAAATAGTCGAAACACACACTTCAAACATTTGGAACATAACTGCAAAATATACTACATGAAAGCATTTATACAATCCTACATTCAACCTGGCCAAAAACGCTAAAAAAAAGACTAATCAAATCTACTCTTAAGACATTTAGGGCTGCGGCACAAATCTTAGAGTACGTTGCTTCAGAACACAATATCCACAAATCCATTCAAAGTATAATTAAGAACACTGGAAGGGTATTACATCTTGCCTCACACCATATACATATAGGCAACTACATCACATAAAACTGTTGTAACAAAGCATATCTTTCCCACACACAATTAACCTCAGTAACATTTTACAAGCAAAACATATAATTACTGAATGAGTACATCTTATGTTTGAAGGATAAAGTCATAAACCATCCGACCCAATTTTGTTTCACTTTAATGCAATCAATAGTTGGTCCATTTCCTTTATTTGGAAGAGATTGTTCCTTTCGTTCCTAAATGCATTCAAGTTGATTACTCATCACTGAACAAAGGAACATATTGTGCTTGTTGCCCTGGCTACAGATCTGAATCATCACTATCTGTATCATACTTGTTGGCAAAATGTTGGATGTCCCCACGCTGAATGTTAGGTGACGTGATGAGAGGATAGTCCTGATGTGTTTGGACGGCATGAACAGTGGCATCCTGTGCCCTATCCCCACCAGGATGTGTGGGCTCCTCATCTTTTGCTACAATCAGGAAATGACAGTAATCAAAACATTACTCCCCTATTAATGACTAATGTTGTCAAGCATGCAACAAACCAATCGAAGCGGCCTAACAGCACATAATTGACAAGCCGGACACACAGCCAGCCAGCGAGCCATCCAGCCCGTAGCTTTCAGGGGAGTCAGCCAGCCAGCAAGCCGATCAGCTGACAAACAGGCCCGCCACTATCCAGCCATGCACCTTCCGATCAGCCAGACGACATGCCAGCCAGCCAGTCAGCGAGCCAGCCAGCAAGCCAATCAACCAGCCAGCCAACTAAGAGCCAGCTTTCCAGCAAGCCAGAGATGTGCAGTCAGCAAGTCAGCAAGCCAACCAATCGGGGAGCCAGCCAATTAGCAAGCCATAAGAGCCAACTGGTCAGCCAGCAAGCAAATCAACCAACAAATACCAACTAGCCAGCCAAGCAACCAGCAAGCCAGATAGGAAACTTTAAGCTCTAATTGAGCACTACCAAATCCATTTCCAAACAACATTAAATCAATTAAATTGACAAAGTGGTGCTCATCACTTGTAATGTCACTAATTCACATGCAAAATCCTTTAGCCTTCAATGCTGAACAAACAACTGAACTTACATTTTGTCATCACTTTCTCAATTGCCATTCATTTAGGGAGTCAGGTTGGCGAAGTGGTAAAATACTTTCCTCACCTTCCACCTCTATGGCCCGGGTTCGATTCCTGCCCGGACCACATGTGTATTGGGTTTTCAGTCCCTGCCTGACTCAGTGGGTTTCCCCAGAATATTCTTCTGGGGTTTTCCTCCCTCCTCTAAAAGTGTGATTTCTTCTCATTGTCTCCTCTCTAAACCTTTCATCAGGCTTTAAAGAAATCCTTGGTATCGTTACCAGAAAAAAAAATCATAAAACTCTCTACCATATTTAGATTTGCATTCGGTATTGGTTTGTATTGTGTTGAAATTGCTAACTGTTTGAAGATCCACAGGGACCTACCTTGCTGCACTGAGGCAAATAATCCAGCAGCTGCAGCAAAGTTGGGATTGCAATTGAAGTCAAGCTCTTGGTGACTCAGTCTTGTCGGAATCTGCCAAGGCTATAAAGGAAAGTAACAAATAATGTCAATTTTCATATGTTCAAATCAGAGATACAATTTGTGTTGTAAACTGTAATTTGAGCACCAGGAAAACCTGACAGGATTACAGATCATTAAGTCATAGGCTGAGCTCCAGGATTTAAGTTTATGCAAAGCTTATTATGTTTGTGTGCACCCCCATGTTAATGTATGTACCTCTGTCATTTTTGTTTTAGCCTCCGCAGAAGAACTTGCTAAGTTCGCAACGTCAGGCCACATTAATTTTTAGATTTATATATTTCAGGTCCATCCAGTCAGTAAGCAGTTTGCAGCAGTCTTACTTTTTTTCAAAGCTTATTATATCTCAAAGAACATGCAAGAACAATGCAAGAGAAGTTAATGTCTGTAATTAACAGTCGTACTACAACAGGCTCAATCCCAAACCAAGCCCGATGCCAACTTCTTTGCACCTGATCTGGGGTGGCAGTGTACATGTAGACATGTATACAGATTACTAACTTACCTGAGTCATTGGGGATGGGTTTTTGGCCGATCCCGCTGCATGTATCAAGCTAGGATTGATGCCATCTCTAACTGGCCTATGTAACGCTGACCTTGATGCAGCCTGTCCATAATCAGGACTGTCTACTGCATCCTCAGCCAACTGGCCCAGCTCTGGGGCCACACTGATCCCGGCTTGCTGGCGATTGGCTGGTCTTGAAGACGCCTGATTTTGAGTTGCGTTGGCTTTCGAAGAGGACCTTAGAATCCTGTCTGAGGGTGGCACAGCATCTTTGGGCTTTCGAGCTGGCTCAGAAGCAGGCATCTTCTTCGGAGCTGATGTGCCTACTGGCTGTCTGCCAAGCTCTTTCCTATCTGCAGGTGTGTCACGGCCAGTGGGTATTGGCTGCTTGGTCAAGGTGCTTGGCTTGTTTGACACGGACAAAGAGGATGAACCCATCATCCCCTCTTCAGGATCACTACCATCTTCAGAATTGCTGCCATCTTCAGAATTGCTACAATCCTCGGATTCGGGAGGTGGCTGCATCAATTAGAAGACCAAAACACTTCTTTAAATTGTGCTGTAATTACTTGTGGGGAAATGGAATGGCACACGTTCCTGTCAGCACGAACTACATGTCCACTGATCAATAAATGGTGTCGATATCAACAGAATAACAAAATAATGATCTCATTTAGTCTTACATTTTTCCCCCTAATATAGCTACTATAAAGCATAATATGAACACCGTTCTCTTGTGAAATTTTCCTTCGCACTTTTGTGATGGTGAGATATACTACAGGCAAAAAGACTTTAGCAGAGAGCATCTAGGAATGGTTTGAATGAGATAACTCCACACAAATCTGCCCCCTCAAAATCAAAATTCAAAATAGTTATCATGTTTGAGATATATTCCTGATGATTTGAGTCTTCAAAATATTGCCTTTCATTAAAACAATTATTTGGGGGCTTCGAGCTAAAAATATTTGGAAGGTTGGTCATCAAACCTCCTCGAAAAAGCCCTGAATTCGGCTTTTGGTCAGCTTGATATAATGAAGAGAAGTCTCGCAATACTCACATTTTCTTTATTGGATGATACTTTGTGCTCTTTGGGACGTGAGGTGGAAGCTTTCTCAGTAACCCTCCTGGAAGTAGGCTTTTCTTTTCCTGCAATTACAAAAGTGACAGAAATATTGGTCTGTATTATTCTCGACATCGCAAGGTGGCAATGTCAACACAAGCAATGTCGTTACAACAATTCAGCTGCTTAGAAATTAAACCTGTGATTCAAGATCAGGTCAAGGTCAAGATGAAGTCTGGGATGACAGTTCTTGAATGAAGTCTGTAAAATTTGCCACTAACGAATTATGATCAATGAGAAAGCATGAGATATGAAATAACATATGTAGGCACAGCACATCTCAACGACAGATTTTATTACTGTATATGCCTGTGAATTCGGCTTTGATTTGATCGGTTTTTGGTTACCAGAAGTACACCAACAAAAGTAGTCTGAAGGATTGATGTATCAGGCAGGCCTACCTTTGGTTTTCTCCACATCTGCCTTTACTGCCTCGGTGATATTCTCCTTAGTTAATACTCCCAGGGACACATCATCATCACTCTCTGTGAATGACAAAGCCAAGGGTTCGCCGGGCGCATCTTTAAGGACGAGACCCTGGAGATGCTTCACGAGAGTCGGGTGAAGCCAGAGAAGCTCAGTATCCGTGGACCTCTGGACAAAAAGCCTTGTGGATTTAAGGGACGAACGGGCGTTGTTGAGTGTGGCAGATACTTCGTTCTGGTTCTCCTTCAAAGCTTTCAGTTGTTTCTGGCTTTCCAAACGAATCTCTTTGAGCAGGCGTTTCTCTTCCTCCGCCAAGCTCTCCCTGATTTTATTGGCCACCGCCTGCACCTTTGCCTTGGCCGTATCGCTGCGTTTTTTCAGCGCCGGGCCCATTTCCTCAAGAACCTGAAGAGAGGTTTCCAAGTCCGGCACTTTATTCTCCAGGCGAGACAGTAGGGCGTCGGCGGCATGCCTTTCCAAGGGGGCCGCGGCGGCCAAGCTGGTGTACTCGTGGGGCTCGCTGGAGGAGCGATCCAACAGGGTGCAGTCACGGCAGATCAGCTTCCGGCAGGTCAAGCAGTAGAACCGGCATCTTTCCCCGGTGTGGTCGGGGCACTCCGGGGCGTCGGACCGGCCGGTCACACCGCCTGCTTTACCGGCCCGGCACTCCTCCAGGGTGTATACATCGTGCCCGTTCGATGCCGGCAGGCGGCCGTGGAACGCCCGACAAATGGCGCAGAGAAATACGGCGCACTCGGAGCACCGGCATACTGCCTCGTGCTTCTTGCACACGTTGCAAGAAACTTGGGCGGTCGCAGCAGACTTGCTCCTCATCATCACGATCTCGGAAACGGCGGCATCCTCCACCAGCCGAGCCAGGAAAATGTTCGCCTTTGCACCGCCAACTCCGACCGGCGTTATCTGTCGGCAATTCGGACAGCGGATGTTATCCGTCCTTTGTTTGTTGGACTTTTGCATTTCTTTGATACATTTCTCGCAGTAGCTATGAAGGCAATCCAGTATCTTGGGCCGCTTGAATTTCTCGTTGCACAGAAAGCACAACAGAGGATTAATGTTCTTCTGCTTTTCCATCGCGTGACAAAATCTGAAATGCAAGAGATAAAAACCGCAAGCGACAAATTTAAATAGAGAACTTTAAAACGGTGGTTGTGTTTAACATTTCGTAACTTGAAAAGTACATGAGTGTTTCGAATTGTTCTTGTACTAAAAGAAAGCTTATGAATTGAACTTTCATATCCTACATTTTGAAAGTGCTACATGGAGAACTTCACTTGAACAATAGTCCCGACATTATTTTGGGTGTCGTGTTTTTTTTACTCACCCTGTATAGCCCATTCACCTGTGCTACGGGGTAAAGAAAGCACCGCCAAACTCACAAAATGACTGCGAGTAAATGATGATGCAGTCATTTTGCAATAGTTTCAGAATTCCTTCAGCTGAGAAATATCCACCCATTGCACTATTTTGATATTTGCTAAAAAGGTACAAAAAGGTCAATAGACTGACCCTCTGGGACCAGCCAAAAGTGATCCTACCTTCTCGGTTTACCTCTCTCCGGCAGAGTGTGAGCTCTTGAGTAGGCCTTCAAATGTCCTACCCGCCACTACAGTCTTGTATAAACTCCGGCTTGTCAACTTTAAACATGTCCAGCAGTTGGCAGGCACATAATGACTTATCGTAATTCCTGTTAATTTCAACTTCCGTGTGTCACAGAGCATAAATGCTAGTTTCTAAAGGCCTTGCAATAGTTTCGGAATTCCCTGAGCTGAGAAATATCCACCCCCTCACATTATATACCCATTTTGATATTTGCTAAAATTAACCTCTCTGCCCTTTTACAGATTACCGCGTCACATCTTTCCCACGTTGTTTTGACGATTTGGTACTTTGGGATTTTCCCTTCAGCACGCAATTGGGCGTAATAGTACCAGCAGCTGTAGTATTGTTTAAGTTCTCGCACACATAGTGTGAGAAATAGTTTCCCCCGACACGCAATACTCATAATTATATGCATACATTGTTACAAGTCACGTACGCCACTATGCAGCCACATACACACAATTGGTAACATGACAACATTATTTTGTGTGCACTACAAGAATCGTCTGATCGCTTGACTGATGCCTTTAAAATATCTTGTGTGGCCGTTTTGACCAATGATCTCGAAGCGCTTGACAATTAATAACCCTGTTCATCAGGTATGATACCATTTTTCTTTTGCAGCAGCTCCAGATCAGCGCAACCTGGTCTCGATCTTTGCAGGATACCCATTTACTCCTGGGTGGAGAGAGGTCGTATAGTAAAGCATATTACCCCAGAACACAATCAACCATGTTCACGGCAATGCTGTCGAACACCTAAGACCATAATGAATGATCATAGACTGTTATTTTAATCAAAAGCAGACGAGTCAATGCTATAAGCATAATATAATCTTTCCCTTCCAAAATCTTTTATTCGAATCTTCCATTCAAATGCACTCTTAAAGCATTTACATTTTGCATTATCATAATGTAACATTTAAACTGTAATGGTTGGAACAAATCTTACTTTGTTTGATTAATTTGTAATATTATTAACTTCACAACACGCATAAGGCAGAAGAGAGTTGGGTGGTCCTGATCATTAAATCAAGGGTCAAAATATTATAATATCACACTTTTGATGAAAATAGAAATTAAAGAAAACAAAGCGTTCGTCCCCAGCCAGGGTTGTGTCAAACATAACAAATATATTCAATCGTCCACCGAATAGCCGAATACCATTTATTTCTACCAAATAAAATTATTCGAAAAGTCCAAGCCGTTGTCACATGAAATTCGGACTCCAATGAAATCTGGTGTCTTTTACCTTTTATGGACTCTTACCCTTACACGTGACCAGTTATCCTGCATATCTGCAGGCATGTTCAATGCCCGACTCCGTATTTCAAGAGTCTTTATTGATAATGACACCGTCTCAAAGATGATGAAAAAACGTTTGTGGTGTAATTTTATTCGTGTGATTTTGTGTGTCAAATACCACATTTTGTGGACAGCCACTTTACCAAGGGCGGATCCAGGGGGGGGGGGGGGGCAAAGGGGGCCATGGCCCCCCCCCAAAACGAAACCATTTTTTTTTTTTTTATGTGGCATCGCAATAAAGGCAGGCAATGAGTACACCACCATCTTTTCCTCAAAAAAACATTGGTTAAAGTGGTCAGAAATTGCCTCAGATCGCACCACAGAGCATCTAGAATCCAAAAATTTTTCGGGGCCCTTAAGCGGGCCCCGAAACCCACGCCGTAATTTTTTGGACCCACTTTTTGGGGGACCAACATTTTTTTTGGCCCCCCCTAAAATTGTGTTCTGGATCCGCCCTTGCACTTTACACGCAAGATATGAGAGTTGTGATTAGTCTATAATTTGCATCATTAAATGTTGTCAAATATTAGTCTTCTTACCAATATAAAAATCTATATTCATAAAAAAAACTTGTTACCGCAATAATAATGCCGAAACAAATCCACCAAATCTAAGTTCCAATGTTCGAATATTAAAGGGAATGTACATCATTGGCTTTTGCTGTAATTTTCAGAAATGAACTATTTGAGGGGTTAGTATAATAGATCAAATATTGTTACACTGATATGTTTGAAATTGTGTGTTCGAAAATGCTGGAAAAACCAAGACAAACAAAAATGTTCAAGTAGTCTGGTTCCCTAAGTTAAGTTTGAAGCCCACAAACACTATGAACATCTTCATCCCTTAAAAATTTGTTAAAGAGCCATTTTCCCTTGAAATTACAGTTAATAAATTAATGGATATTTCAACATATTAATACAGATTAGGAGTCCGTGAAAACACCCTTAAGAAAGTCCTTTGTTTACCCATGGAGATAGACCCAGTGTCCCGTTATGTATAACCAATGATAATCCTCAGTGGCCAGGGTCATTAAAAAAAACGTGAAAATACCCTCACAGGATTAGTCCTATATAAGCCCCATGTAAATGTCCGTGAAACATCTCTTAAAGATTCTTGTAACGGAGAAATGGACTTTTAATGAAAATTTAAGGGATCAGATGTATGAAAGGTTGAATCAAGGGGGAGAGCAGAGGGCTAAACCTTGTCAACTGATGATGATAATGTTACAGGAGTTTGGGAAATAAAATATAAAATAATATATAAAATATTGATAAATAAAATATAAAGTATTGAGAGTGTAATGTTCAAAATTTCTTTAATTGTTGGCCCCGAAAATGGGTGTGACATTAAATTAGTCTTGGGCGTGCAATTCTAAAACCACACGAGAATTGAGTACACACTATTCTTAAACAAATAAGATTTAATGACTTGGAAAAATTCCAGACAAACAGATAAATTTAAAATAAAATGTGCAAGTTCATCCTCAACGGTTAGTCAAAACATCTGCGTGTTGTTATATGTTGAAGAACTTGACACATTGATTTTGATTTTATAACTACTTGCATGTAAATCAGTTACAGTTATGTCAATATAAAGCTTTATTTCAATCAATTTAACAAACATGTTTTAATGAGAATATAATCTATCCATTTAGACAAGCTCACATACCCAAGGATGCGGTACTGCATGCAGGGCCCCCAAAGGAAACCAGTTTTAAACTGTTTGAGGACACCCTGGGGGAAGAAATGTAATCAAAATAGCTTATTTACAAAATTTAATTATATGCCAAGACCTCAGTAGTTGAAGTTTTAAAATATAGAGCGATCAAATGAGGAGCAAGAACAACTCTATAGTGTCTTGTCTAGATGCATGTGATATTTTATTGAGTAGACTAATTTTTCTGGCAAAAGTTTGTGTTCTATAAAGTTGGTTTTGAGCGTTTCTTTTCAATGTCTTTTTGTCAAGCGGTAAAAACAAACATGAAACAGCCATCAAAAATGGTAGTTTTCATGTGTCTTACTTAAGATGGATTTAGTGAAATTGGTCTTGGGACGCATCTTTAGCTAGGATCAATCTTAGGGTGGGGACTCATCTTAAGTCCTGGCAAAATATGACGTGTTTCATGAAATCGACCCCTAACTGTTGATTATGGAAGACAAAATTCAAATCCATTCTTGAAGCCAGACTAATACTAACTCTGTTGTGTTTGTTTTCTCAATTCCGCCTGGCACTCTTCAAAGACGGCCTTGAAGCGCTGGGTGGTTCCGGCCAGTTTGAACCGGACGCCCAGCTGCTCCATCTGTGGGTCACCGTCCGCCGCGTCCATGGCCTGCCACACCAGGGAGTTCTCTGACCCCCCGGTAGGTGCCAGACTCATTTCCTTGGTGATGTAGTGGTTAGCACAAACCTAAGGAAGCACACCACAATGAAAACTTGACATTTTTGGAATCAGTTGAAAATGATTATCTTTGGATTTTGTTCCCCTAATGCAAGTAATGCAGCTTGTCCCCGACAAGTTTGGTTTAGCAATTGCGGTGGTAGGGGTATACTACAGGAATCAAAATTCAAAGCTAACTAGCTTTAATATACTGCGGTACGTGGGGACTTCTGCAAAAAGATTGTAACAAGATTGGATAATCTTCTTGAAAGCACCCACTTTGGCCTCCATTGACAGATGGGCCTCACTTTCAAGATGCTCAAAAGGTTAAATTTGGTACACCCTTTTCAGCTCAACTCATATGGAAAGATTGAACATTAAAAAAATGGATAGTTGACGTACGTCTTAGAATGAAAGCATCTATAGTCAATGGAAAATGATTAAATGCAGTGTGAGAATTATCTGGTTAGTGAAAAGTTTGACACTTAATTAAACAGTAAGGAGGGACTACACCAAAAGATCAGCAGTTGCAGAGATTCAGAATCACAAGAGTCTAGCAAATAGAAATGTCTACAATTTAAATGATTAAATAAAACATGCTCCACAGTGAGTCTCTCCTTATACTATTTGATACAGTGATGCTCTGGACTGTAAATCGGAAACGGTTGTTGTAAGATATTTAGACTCACCCTTAAGACCTGGTCCCTCCTCATGATGATCCTGTACTTTTTCGTCTGGGTGTTATGGAGAATCTTGATATCCCCGATACCGCGGTCCTTCCACTGAGTTGTGGCCTTGTCATAGCGGTACAGCTTGGCCCTTGAGCAGAAGAGCTGGCTCTCATCTTCCTCTCCGGTAACTTTCTCCACCTACGGTAATTTAAAGGACCCTGAACTTGAAAGACAAACAGGTTCTGCACAAAAACTGTTTGCAGTAAAAGCAAAAAAGGCTGGTCGGGCTAAAGCCTTTGAAAAGCCTGGGCTGGTCTTGGAAAAACCCTCAGGCTTCTCTCATTAGTGAACAATATACTCCCACTAAAGGCCACGTTCAGCCAGCAATTCCTGTTGAACACTCAATTGTTTGACTTCTCAGTCAACTTCTGACTGAATTCTTTAATTACTGACTCTGACCTAGAGTAACAAAAAGAAGGTAGGTTTTTAAAAGTCCATTAAACACCTTAAACTGAAATACACAATCAGTAAATGAGCATTTCGATTCACTCTATGCAAACAAATCATACTTATGCGCTTCTAATTTTTTTCCCACACTTGGCTGGTTGTGTTGCAACTCTCCAATTAGCCAAAGAGATAAGATTCCATTGATTTAACACATTCTGTGGTTCAAAATAACACATCCCACCTGCTCTGGTAGATGGGCCACCGGTTCAAAGTGGATGTCGTCTCTCTCCTCGGAGACACTGTCATCTTTGCTACCCGCTGCTGTTGCATCCACTTCCTTGCTAATGGAATCTGTTGTAGAAGTGGGCGTCGCCTCTTCTACCTTTGGCTTCTGGGCGTGGCTGGCATTGGCGCTGCGCAGGAGCTCCGAGAAGGCCTTTGAGATGTTTGGATCGCAGGATTCGACAATGGGCAGGTCAGAATCTCCTGCTCAGATAATCCAAACACAAAGATAATATAACAACTGCGCTTACAAGTTAAAGGTTCTATATAATAATAATAATAATAATAATAATAATTTGGGAGGCTAATCATCCTTACTGGCAGCTGGGATGCTGAATTGCGAAGGACGCGGCTACAACGTGGTCGGGCCGCTGGCACGTAAAGGCGCCTATGGCTGCCGGCCACATCGACCCATATATGACCACGGAGCCAGCCTGAGATCGAAAGTGTTTGATTTGTCCGGAGGGAGGAAAACCGGAGGGCCCGGAGAAAAACCCTCGTGGCACAGGAGAGAACCAACGCACAACTCTACTCACAAGCCACCCATGCCACTATATGGACACCATTTGCAACAAAATGGTATTTGCCGATTTCAGAAACAGCAAAACAATAAATTTGAAGCAGGCTATTGAAAACACTAACCTGTCAAAGTTCAGCTCAGTAGATTATTGTTTGAGAAAACTTTGAAAATGCATCTTCATTTTTCTTGAAGCAATTCAAGTGTAGGTTTAATACCTTTCTAGTAAATGATGGTACTTCCCTCTTTTCTTAAAAATAACATTAACTTCTTCTGTCATTGTCAAGGAAAGAGGAAATTACCTTCATTTTACTTGTAATTATTTATCCAGTTCTCAGGTGACGTCCACTGATTACAATAATATAATGAACAGGTCGTGGAATGGCTGATATATTTGACTGATTTCAAAGCAAACAAGCTCATAAGCCTATTCCTCTTGGAAGCTCTTAAATCATGCAGGCTAAAGTATTGCATTTGACAAACAATAACACCAAGCAACCCATTCAATTAAAATAACAATGTGGACATTTTCCATCCTCTCCTCGAGGTCACTCGAGATTTTCAAATATTTGCACCAAAAAAAATGCTATGCAGACATCTGGTCGCCCGAACAAATATGGTATACACCGCACAGCCCCAAAGTGCAGGACCAGTAATAATAAGTTTAAAGCCTGTTCACTTATGATCAGGGAAAGCACAACCCGATACCTTAAGGCGTTGTCCTTACCTTCAGTTGATATCTCTTGCACTTGTTTGTCATCTTTGTCTTCATTTTGTTCACCTTTGTCTTTGACTTGTTCATCTTTGTCTTTGACTTGTTCATCTTTGTCTTCGACTTGTTCATCTTTGTCTTCGACTTGTTCAGTTTTGTCTTTGACTTGTTCATCTTTGTTTTCGACTTGTTCATCTCTGTCTTGGACATGTTCATCTTTGTCTTGGACTTGTTCATCTTTGTCTTGGACTTGTTCATCTTTGTCTTCATCATCGTCATTAACGTCATGCTCATCATCATATTCATCCTCAGCGTCTTCATAATCCTCATCATTATCATCATCATCATCAATGTCGTCCTCATCATCATATTCATCATCAATGTCTTCATAATCCTCATCGTCATCATCAACGTCTTCATAATCCTCATCGTCATCATCATTGTCAACATCCCCCTTAGCCTCCTGTCCATCTTGTATATTCGATACACCACTGTCATCTTGATCCTCTTCTCCATCGACTTCCTTTGTGGCATGACCACCAGCCTCCTCTTTGATGTTTTCGTTCTGCTTGCAATTTCTTCCTGCTTCCTCTTTTGTCTGTTCTTTCCCCTCTTTCTTAATGTCCTCCTTGGCTGCATCTACTGCCTTCTTGAACTCAAGAGTTGTCTCTTCTCTTCTGAACCTCACGGCAAGCTGTTCCATTTGGACCTCATCCTCGGAGGCATCCATAGCCATCCAGACCCAGGATTTTGTTGAACCAGCGTAACACTGGAGATCGAGTTCAGGTGTGACATAGTGGTTGGCGCACACCTTCAAGACCTGTTCCCGGCGCATGACAATGCGGTATTTCAGGTTGGCAGGACTGTATAGGAGCTTAATGTCCCCAAGTCCGCGCTCTTTCCACTGAGAGGAGTCTTTGTCAAAGCGGTAGAGCTTTGCTCGGTGGCTGAATTTAACTGTCTCATTCTCTTCCCCTGTCTTAAGGTCAGTGCATTCAGGCAGCTCAACAATAGGCTCAAAATAGATGTGATTGCCTGGCGAACTGACAATATCAGGGGACCTAAGCTTGATGGGTGACTTCTCAGAATTATTCACCTCAGGCGATTTATTGACATCCAGATGAAAGGCGAACGTCGAGCCCTTGGACTTGGCCATGTCTGCAAAAGAGAAGCCCATGAGTGTTTCCTCTTTGGTAGTGGTTTGTGTGGATGTAGCTGGCTTGTCCTCATAGACAAACCCCGCTGATGGTTTGACTGGAGTTACATGAACTGCTGCGGAAGCAGAGGCCAGGACAATATTATGAACAACACCAGCTTTGCAATCATTATCTACATTTTTGGAATCATCATTGTTAACATCAGCTTCCTGTTCAACAAAAGCCTTCATTTCAGCATTGTTGCCTTGATCTTCTTCTCCTTCCTCTTCATTTGTGGCTTGACCCCCATCATCTATTTCTAAGTTGTTTTCCTTCTCTTTGTCAATTTCCAGTTCTTTCTCCTCTGTGGTTTGTTCTTTCCCTTCTTTCTTAATATCCTGCTTGGCTGCATCTACTGCCTTCTTGAACTCTAGAGCTGTCTCCTCTATTTTGAACCTCACAGCTAGCTGTTCCATTTGGACCTGTTCCTCTGAAGCATCCATAGCCATCCAGACCCAGGATTTTGTTGGGCCGGCGTTGGACTGGAGATCGAGTTCAGGTGTGACATAGTGGTTGGCGCACACCTTCAAGACCTGTTCCCGACGCATGACAATGCGGTATTTCAGGTTGGCAGGATTGAATAGGAGCTTAATGTCCCCAAGTCCGCGCTCTTTCCACTGAGAGGAGTCTTTGTCAAAGCGGTAGAGCTTTGCTCGGTGGCTGAATTTAACTGTCTCATTCTCTTCCCCTGTCTTAAGGTCAGTGCATTCAGGCAGCTCAACAATAGGCTCAAAATAGATGTGATTGCCTGGCGAACTGACAATATCAGGGGACCTAAGCTTGATGGGTGACTTCTCAGAATTATTCACCTCAGGCGATTTATTGACATCCAGTTGAAAGGAGAATGTCGAGCCCTTGGACTTGGCCATGTCTGCAAAAGAGAAGACCATGGGTGTTTCCTCCTTGGTAGTAGTTTGTGTGGATGTAGCTGGCTTGGCCCCAAAGATGAAACCCAGTGATGGTTTGTCTGGTGTCAAAGGAACTGCAGCTTTTTGAGGGGTCAGTGCGCTGGGGTTCTGCACTACTGTCAACGGTGCAGCAGCCTTGTCACCTGCTCCTCCAAAATCACATTTCTGGAAGCCGCCCCCAAACATAAACTTGGTGGTAGGGGCTGTGAAAGGCTGTGTAGCTCCAAATTTCAATGCTCCTGAGAGGGATGTTGCACTGGACGATGCGAGAGATCCACCAAATTTAAATGGTAGTTTGATGGCACCATCAGAACTGCCGAATTTGAAACCTTTACCTCCACCAAATTTGAGATCGCCTCCTGATGAAGCTGAACTAACGATTTGCGGAGAGGTCCCTTCAGAAATTGTCCCTTGTTTGTCTGTTTTGATATGAGCAAAACTAGTCACAGTCAATGCTCCACTAGCACCAAATATAGTTGATGAGGGCTGGCTACCCTCTGTTTATGAGGAAGGACAAAAAGTATCAAAAATACAACCAAGACTAAGTGTTTAGAAGCCAGAAACAGCAAAAAGAAAAAAAAGCCGACAAAATAAACCCTCTAAATGCCAATTAATAAAAGCAAAACGTTAGAACTTTGCAGATTGAGGGAACAAAACCTCAAATGCACTTAGGCCCTAAAATTTACCTCTTAAAGTCAAACAGGAATTTCATGCACCTGTTATAAAGTTGCAAATATTTTTTAAAATTCCCTACTCCTAGTAGTTTCCCCAATATTTTGACTGATGTCACTTTGACATATTCAGACATATTTCCCATTACTTGTGTTAACAAGAAATAGTACTTGGCTGCCTTGTGTTTTCAAACATCCCAACATAGAGCTAGATCCCCATAGAGACATGCTTCCCTCCAGTTGATGAACGTATGCATTGTGAAAGTATTTACTACGATACCTTGGGTATCACATGTGGTTGATGTCTTCTTAGCGACAGATGCAGTAGTTGTTCTGGCGATAGTACCAAATGTCTGCTGAACTGAGGCTGTGCTGAACACTGGACCTTGTGAATGCGAGACAGTGGCAGCTGCTGGCTTGACAGATGTGGGTGCTAGGGGAAAAATCATATATTACACTGTCTGTCTGGATCAAGCATGCATCAAGCCCAAAAACTTTACACGGAATGGCCACGTGGAGAATTTTATCACCACATGTGTTTATAGGTCACTAACCCTGGCATGCCTGTACATGCACAAGATATAGGTCATTCACATGGCCAGGGATTGTTTACAACCTGTCTGAGCTCTGGGCGGCACGAGGGGTTGACACAAAGGGATCGGTGGCACTTTAGGGGTTGGCCACTAAGATCTCCTATTACTGCAAAAGGCATTAGGCGCCATCTTGGCTTCTGTCTTTCAACCCTTCTTACTCCGGAGTGGCTAGGGTCTGGCCAATGGGAGTCAGGCTTGTGGTGTATATTAGGGGTGAGGATTACATAGAAGCTTGGCCTTATTGGCCCATTGAAAAAAAATATGCCCATATTTGGAAAATGTGGAGAATTGTATTGTCCGCTCGCTGCGTGAAGAGTCCTTAAGGGAAAAGATGTCAGAGACACCTATGAAAACCTACAACTCTTTCCTCTTGCAGCTAGATCCTCAGGATCACATCCCCGGCAGCCGGGACATGGAGGCTCATCCTCACAGAGGAAGAAGGTAGGTGGGAGGAGGAGTGCTTCAGCCCGGGCCCGCTGATCAGGGGTAGGTGTCTTCTCCGATATAAAGATCACATCATCTTCATCACCATCATGAACATCATCTGAACATCAGAAGCACATTGAGATCATACATCCTTTGCAAAAGGTTTCAAAATTTGCAAGCAAAAGATATTTTGCACAAGACTGTGCTTATAAGCATGTGTTTATTTTCTTTCTGCAGACTCCCAGAGGGTTTGGAAGCACTGCCAAAACTAAATGTTGTTGACAACTGAACAAGCTCACAAGAAAGTTTGCAAAGTACAGTGATAACATTTCATTTGCGATACACACTTTTATACATCCCTGTATCTTGCCCAATAAAAGAGACTGAAATCCTGAAGTGTTTGCCTTTATCTTTCTGCTGGCTCAATGTTGAGGGAGGGGAAATGCTTGAAGGGTGACTGTTGCTTGTGCTCAGGGTGCTGAATTCTGGCAGTGCTGTAGACCCAATGGAGGATTTATTCTGGCCAAAGGTGAATGCAGTCAATAAGGTCTGTGGTTTTCTCATGCGCCTTGTTCTTCGAATCCTTTCCAGTGGAGATTTCTGACCGATGGAGAAACCACCCGGCGGATTTTCTGACAACCAACAGAATATAGGCCTTACTGCTGCAATCCTGTGCAAATTATTTCTTCGCAAGCCCTTTAACCCATGCCGCAACTGTATATGTACTACATTGTATTACACTGCATGTATTCACTAAAAAAATCCATGCATCCTTTGAGTGCTTCGGTGGTTTCGGGCGGTACAGGGAGTTAAAGGTAGGGCAGTTTGGGGTGGCATAAAAACAAATATGAGTAACCAATGCATAGCAATTTCCAAAATGGAACAATTTTCAAATTTCTCTTTTATAGTCCTCAGAGGACAAATGGCAAGATTGCCAGGCGATCAGTACTTTTTTTAGCATTAACCATTAAGAAAAAACAGACTCGGACCTAAAACTGCCCGAGTTGATTATTTGATTTGATTTTAATGGTACAAAAAAGCACGGCAACAAATTGTAAATGGCTGTACGTACCCGACCTGTCTGAAGACTTTGAACTGCCAAATGTAAAACTTTTCTGGTAACTTTTGGCAAATGCAGCCTGAAATAAACAAAACAGAATAACAAAATTAAGAAATAGCAAGATTGGAAATGCATCCAAAAACTTTTCCCTTAAAATTTAGAGAGTTTTTTATTTTAATAATAAAAAAAAAGATTGCCTAATGCCAGTTCTTGGTTCTTGGTTGGTTCCTCTCCTAAATACTCCACGTGGGAGTTTATACAGGAGGTCAGAAACACCGGGGCAAACCCCTTCTCTTAGCGATAAGTGTTTACTGGGTCGAAGTTTACGTGCATTTATACAACACACGGGACCTACGGCTTAACGTCCCATCCAAAGGACGAAGCAATAATGGTTAAGTGCCTTGCTTAAGAGCACAAGTGTCCGCCGGCGGGCTCGAACCCACGTAACTGTTGCCTCTGAAACACCAGAACGTTAGTCAGGTGTTCTTAACTGCTAGGCCATCACACTCCAGTTCATGGCCTTCATGCACTACGTGACTTCAGAAAGCAAAGCAAGTGTAAATTGTGCCTGCACCACAATCACAAATTTGCATTTTGACTCTTCTTCAAATTACAGGTTTGACAAATCGTGTTTTTGATAGGCTATTGCATCATACGGCAGTGATCATACTGTCCTTTAAAGCAACAATAAAAAAATATCATTGCTTAAGCATTCTATCCAGCATGATGTCAAACAACTTAGTGCACTTTGTGTTGTGGATTGGTCTTAAAGGATAGTCAAATTCGCACAGACAACTTGATTATAAATTGCATACTTTTTTTGTTGTTGGTGGTGCAAATGCAATAGTCGAGGATGTTAATGAGAATCCAAAATTAAGACTTTTCATATCAATCACTCAAATTAACTGTCTTGGGTTTGTCTTACTGCACTCTGTTTTAACTCTACCTCTTCCTCCACTTTCCTGATAGCCTGGAGTTCCTCCAGACGTCGCTTGAACTCTTTGGCGAGCTCCGAGGTTTTGAACTTGACTGACAAGTACCAGTACGAAACCTCCCCTGCTGATGGTGATAAGTCAAAGAAACGCCAGACCAACCTGTCAGAGGACTTCAGGTTTGTCGTCATGTGGGCGGAAATTGAGTGGCTCGAACATATTTTTGAGTCCTGCAATGAAAATTTTACATGAGTAAACGTTCTCACACACTGATTTGTGATCCATGATCTTCACTAATGGATATTAATAGATCTGATAATATATTTTTTCAACTGTGAAGTAATGTTAGTCCATTTCAGAATGAACGTGTTTTTCAAATTTTGTGCATTATCCTGATGCCACACTTCGCATGCCAACTTAAGTGTCATTTTTCCAAAATTACTTTTATTATAAACGTGTATTTTTGTACATTTTTGATTAACACTGGTGCCATTGTGAAACTTGTTGTTGATATTCGAATGAGCACTGGTATTTTGGGAAGTCACTGGCTAATCACTTTTGTTGTGTGTTAATTAAGATTGGTTTGCAGTTTGGAATAATTTAATACAGTACACAATACATATAAGCGTAGTACAATTAAGGGTTACAGAGTTCAATGCTATAATCCGGCAAACACATTTGCCTGTATAGCTTTGATGATAATTTGTGAAGTATTAGTCTGCAGGATTGAACAAAATATTACCTGTTCGTGTTGTACGATCAGTCGCAAGCTTCCACTGTCTTTGAGGCGTAGTATTTTGACGTCACCGTTCCCTTTTTCCATTACCTTCCAGACGCCTTGGTGTCTGGCAAAACAGCAGAATGCAGCTTGCTGCTTGTACATCAAATCTTCATCCTCCTCTCGTATTGTGGTGTTAAGAAAACTTGACCATACCTGCACATTTGAGAATGATGACATGTGCAACCACATGTATTTAATTATAGCCTGAATTCAACCCCCCTCCCCCCCCCCCCCAAAAAAAATATATTATTTCTCACGTATCAAAACATTTTGAAAAGAAAAAAATGATGTCCAAAATTCCCGATAAAAAAAGTATAAAATCCCGCTGGGGTACCGGTTGTGAATATTGTCCTGCCGGGAATCCGGGTTCTTCCGAGAAGAAGAAACTGCGATCCCGTCTGGATTTCTCCCGACCCAGTTCCATTTTCCATGGGATATATGATTTTAACATCATAGAGTACAGTGACTACTGTAAAATCTGCTTTCTGTTCTAGCAGATTGTGCCACAGCACAATGTCCAAGAGGATGACCCTCAAAGCAGAAGTTGGGATGCTCACTTTCTTCAGTTGACTTTGTTGAAAAGAACAAATCAAATAAGATGTTTCATAGTTATCAGCTTCAACATAATCTTGGATTGTCTTACAAGTGGCTGTTTTCTTTCTTCCTCCTCCTCCAATTTCCTGGCAGCCTGAAGTTCCTCCAGATGTCGCTTGAACTCGTTGGCAAGCTCTGAGGTCTTGAACTTGAACTTGGTGGTGGTCCAGACCCATGACCGGTCTGAGGACTTCAGAGGGTTCAGTTTCAGGTCACTGGTGATGCTGTGGTTTGCAACCATTTTTGATTCCTGCAACAGGGAACAGCCATTAATAAAGTATTCATATACAGCTGATAAATACAGGCATGCAACTGGGAATTTAGAAAAAAAAACCAAGGAAATCCCGAACCACACAAGACTTTGTACAGTATTTTTCAGTTTGTAATTGCATTAGTGAAGAGTGAAAAATGAGGAAATCAGCAGATCCAACGAAAAATTACATGCCTGTAAAATACGTTGACTGTATTAGCTTTGTACGCAAACAAGAGAGGGTGTACTAGTTCACGCACATTACACACAACTTATTTTAATCCGAATGTACTCAAAACAACAGCATTGGCGTGAGCTTCAGGAATTGTCGCATTTCCGAAATAAACCTTGTACGTGTTCAGCCACGGACTTTCAATAATTAAATACGTTTCCCTTTCAGCTACATATATTTTGTAAGTATATGTTTTTCTGTCACAAAGTATGTATGTAATATGCGCGATCTTGCTTTCGGGACAAATTTACACTCGTTGCTGTGCATGCATCATCACATTTTTGCACTTCCTAGTCATTTTGCAGTCATGCCAAGATGCGCTGCATCTATAGCAAAGCATGTTGTTTTTTTCCTTTGAACAAGAAAGCATATATGACCATGAAAGTGCTTATTCAATTTACGTTAAAATCACAAATCTTGTTGTGAGATACTTGACAAAGCCTGTGAGCGAGATGGCGCATATTACCGTGAAAGTACTTAATCTGTTTACGTTCACGGTAATTATGCACCATATGTTCCAGGGGCAAAAAAAGAACATGTGTTGCTCGACGCCGGTGCATTTTGGAATGGACGCATTACTCTTGAAGTGCAAACGTTTTTGATTGACGATGCCTTCACCGCAAGGCGTGTAAATTTGCCCCGTAAGCAAGATGGTGCATATTACCGTGAAAGTACTTTTGATGACTTAAATGCAAACAAATATGCGACATAAGATTGACATGCTTCGACAGATTTATGCATAAATGTTAAATGAAATATTGCAATTCAGTAATTGCAATTGTTAATTGTGTTGATTTTTCTGGTTTCTTAAGCACAAACATGCAGACTTACCTGTTGCAGTTGCATGACTAGTCGCAAGGCACCAATATCTTTATGGCGAAGTAATTTTACATGACCAATCCCTCTTTCCTTCCAGATGCCCAATTTTCTTGCAAAGTGGTAGATATGGGCTCTCTGCTTGTACATCAACTCTTCGTCATCCTCCTGCATTAAAAAATGCCGCGAGTAAAACTCCTGCTTAGTAACGAAGACAGTCTGAGAAGACAAAGTAATTATGAAAGCACAATGATGAGGATGCCTTAATTTATTGAGAAAGCAATATCAGGTGGAAACAAAATTCTAGTAATCTTTGAAAGTGACAATTTAAAAATGTCCCACAATAAGTTGATATTTACACAATAGCAGTTTGAGCGAGATCCAATGATATTGTTGAACTATTTCTGCACAGGCTTGGTAAGTTTAAACAAACTTCATTTTGTACAGACATTTCTGAAATCAAGTATGCTATTACAAAAAAATAATGTCATTTCTTCGGAGCATTGAATGTTTGTTAAGACCTTCATGTAAACTCATGCTTGAGAGCATTAATGAAATACAAATTTCAGGAATGGCTAAAGACACTGACAAAAACATGGTTGAAGAAAGACATGGGGATTTGTTTTCAAAACATTCAACTTACTGGTCCAGGCATTTCTGAGGGATCCAATTTAGCTGCTGTCACAAAAGTGGAAGTGAAGGATTTCTTTTTTGCCTGCAATGAGTTTCCTACAAAAACAAAAGCACACAATTATTCAGCCAGTATATAAACAGAAATCAAAACACACGTCGTGCCTATCAGGTTTATCAATTTAAGATTGAACTTGATCACAAAAAAGGTAAGTGTTCTTTCAGCAACACAAAAACAATTCTCTTGCTGTTGGGGATGAATGAGAATTGTTTTCGTTTTGCTGAACACTTAGCTTTTTTAGTGATCCATGGCAAAACCTTAAAACGGTGTTTGTGTTTAAAATTCTGTAACTTGAAAAGTTCATGAGTGATTTGAAAGATTCGTGTGCTAAAAGAAAGTTTATTAATTATGCTTTCACATCCTAGATTTTGAAAGTGCTACATGCAGAACTTCATTAAAATATGGTCCTGCCATTTGGGTTTCCTTTTTTTTTAAAAAACTTATCCTGTATGTTCCAACAATACTTTGTCAGGAAAGACCTGTACATCTATAAGGAAAATTTTACCAATATTTACTCTTATCAGAGACTACCCATGCAGTATATACCCACAGACGCTTTTTGGCGGCTTAGAAAGAAACTCATGTGTGAATTAACTCCCACGTATTAGTACAACAAAATGAAATTTAACTCAGAAAGTGTAGTTCTTCACCAGGTAGTTCAAATGTTTTAACTTTGTTCCCACTTGACTCCTCATGTTGAGAACTGCCGATATCTCTAGAAGGTGGGGGTGGTAATTGTTCCATGAAGTCCTCAGAGGCAACTTTCACTGTAACCGCAGCTGGTTGAACTTGTGCACTGTGTTGCGTTCCTCCAAAATACGAGCTGTATTTTTTTTTTCTTGGACAAGAGTCTGATAGAGAGAGTAGGTGGGAAAAAAAAAACTTTTTGGTCTCAATTAAATGGAAAATGTATAAATCTTCAAAATAATTTGACAGATACATGACCAGCCATATGCAGAAATGAAAGTAGCATTTAATTTATTTATAAATCACTAAATAACCCTGTACTTGTAGAAAATGAAACAGGGGTGAAAAAAATGGCAAAACTACAGGAAAAAGTAAAGAGGGACTTCAACTGTACTGAAAATCTAGAGAAGAGTATAAATTCAGGGAATGACAAAAAGCTTATCTCGAAAGTAAGAATGAATTATGATTATCAAAGTGCAAACCTACCGTACTTCGATGAACAGCGTAAGTAAATTTAGTCTGCACACCACCCCCCAGCGGCGTACAATTAAGGGGGGGGGGGGCGCATGGCATGGGGTTGCAAGCCCCTTCTCCCACTTGAAGCTTGAGTCACAATAGTTATCTGTAGGTTAAACAAAAATTGGTGGTTCCCCCCCCCCCCCCCCCCCCCCCGTTAATTAAACATTATACGTACTTGAATAACCAAATGCTCCAAATGGAACTTGCCGTGGCTGAGCACATGCATCTGCAAAGGATGACCCTGCATGAAAGAGAACAGTTAAAAAAGTTTGGGAGAGAATATTCTTTTTATAAAATTGCATGGCTCCAAAAAAAGTTTTGTTCAACAAAAATGGACCTTATTCACGAGGAGCCATTTAGGTCATGTTCCCTGAATGGATTATATAAATTGTGAACTGTTGAATGGGATCAGTGGTGCCTGACTATATGTTCCACACTAGCCTCACTTTCAATTGTTTTTTAAAATTCAGATTTTACCTTGCTTTCAATTTGATATGGCCGACTCCTGAATATAAGCCCATATGATGAAAATTCCCCCAAACAATTTGTACTATTCATCTAAATTTATCAAGGTAGCACAGTTGTCAATAAAGCAGCAAATATATGATGCGGCTAAGCTTGAGTAACTCCAGCTTCCAATGCTCATCAGGAATTCGACGTTTAGAGCGGGAGCTAAAACTATGTTGTAGATACTAGATTCTAAGAGGCCAGAAAAAAAAATGAGCATTGGAGCTGGAGTTACTCGAGCTATATGATGAGGCGTTGATTATATAATATTGCCCTCAATGAAATTGATATCATGATTACACTTCAAAGATAAAAGGTTATGAATTCAAGCATGGGGATAATTGACAGCAAAAGATACCTTGTCCATAACTGTAGCCTGAAGAATCTCGCAATGATCCCAGTGTTCCCAATGTGTTTTCGTCAAATGTCCAGTGGGGTAACCCTTGAAAAATATCTTCAGGCCTCATGTTTATGTGACTCTCCAAGCCTTTTTCAATTAGAGGACACAACATAAGGAAATCACCATCTTCTGAACTGTCCACAATCTCCTGCGCTGCTTCAGTGGCATCAAGCATGCATTCGATCGCAGTGTTCATCTTTGCCCCACAGTTGTCCAAGATTTTTGCTTGGTCCCGACGTATTTTGGATATGGTCTGGAGGAGACTTGCTTCCTCTGCGCAAATGTCCACACGGACCTTGTTGGCAAATCTCTTGACCTGTTGCTCTAGTTGGAAAGTGTGATTGTCAAAGTCGGAGCCTTTGGTCACCATGCTTTGGGCAGCAGATTTGAACTCGGATAGTCTTTGATTCCCAAGTTGGGATATCATTTGTCTCACTGCCGATCTCTTCTTGGTAGCAGCGGATTCTACTCTGCTGGACTGATGGTTCGGATGACAATCTTGAACATTCCTGGTTCCGCTTCTTTCAAGTTTAAGAGCTACACACTCTTTGCACAGTAACTCCTTGCAAGTTTCACAGTAAATACCGCTTCGCTCTCTGCAACCAGGGTGTTTGCTGCATCCTGCCAGGCCTTGCTGCTTCTTGACAGCCTGGGCTTTCTTGCCGCAAGTCAGGTCATCCAATGCAGCAACTCTGTGCTGCGAACATGCAGGAATGCGGCGGTGAGCTGTCTGACAGTGCTTGCAAAGGAACATGCTGCAGTCAAGGCATCGTGACACTGCTCTGTTCTTTTGGTCACAAGCCTCACAAACCAAAGCCTTTCTTTGAGAAGTATTTTGCAACACTTCCTCTTGGACTCGGGCATCTTCAATCAAGCCAACAAGGTGAAAATTGGTTTTCAGGTTGGCAACGTTGTTATCAGGGATGTCAGTTTCTTCTTCGCAGATGGGGCACTCAATACACGTACGTCGCTGAGAAAAACCTGTTTGAGGTTTAAACTTCTCAGCCAGGCATTTTTGACAGAAGCTGTGCAAGCACAGCAAGAGTTTGGGCTCCTTGTATCTCCCATTGCAGATGGAGCACACAAGGGATGTCTTACTGATGCTTATTAACTGAGTGGTTGCTACATCTGCCATCGTGTTTCAAAATGGGAAAGTCCCCGTCACAATACACAAATACCTGGAAATAAAAACAAAAAAAGGACCATGCATGCATCACCCATGTGACACATTTAAGTTTGATACAGACAATAACTGACTTGACTAACTTGTTCCGATCCACCCACTGGCAGATCCAAGGGGGAGGGGGGGGGGGAGGGCAACCAACAGAAGGGGGCCCAAATGGATTTTTTTTTTTACATTTCTGTCTTAAATTTCAGGAAATATATTGCATATCCCTATCACCTGCCATCATAGGCCTACACATACCTTTTAGTTTTAGTATAATAACAATGTGGAAATAGCACACGATCTATAACAAAAGTATAAGTATAATCCTCTTCCCCCATGTACATACTAGCATACCACATACATATAGGTCGACGTCTAACATCCGCTTCATAGGTTAAAAGTTATATGCAGAGTTCATCTAGTGCACATGATGCCCTCTTTCCACAAAATTCTAGCTGATATTCAACATGGAATTAGTGAACTAAGTTAGATGATTCCAATTACATAAAGTGCCTTTTCCTGCTTGTATTGTAGTCAAATGTTCAGGTAGGCGAAGTTATCCATATTTATTAGCTTGAGTAACTGCAGTGCAGCTTAACACGCTCATCAGAAATTCACATGTTTTGTTAAATGTGAATTTCTGATGATTGAATTTCTGATGAGCTTAATTCCAGCTAAAAGTAATACTACATGGAATTGTAAGTCCAAAAACATCAAAGTGCCTTTTCGTTCTCTGTGAACAGGGTCCTTATGTCCTAAACTCGACGATTACCGAAAAGACGACGAACATTTAAATAACATTCTGATCTGTTTAAAAAAGTCGATCTTACCTTTTCAAAATCAATCGAAAGGGAAACTGTCCCACACCGATTCAGTATAAAAATCGTTATGCATCACGTGCCGGGCTAGGATAGGGTACAATCAATCATGGAGCTATATGTGTAGTAACTTGTATGTAACGCATGGTACAAGTACATGACAAAACTTAGTTTGTGTGCCTGCACGGACACACCGGTCGTCCTATCTATAATGTACGGAGGCAAACGCACTTTGAACCTGGGCTATAGGCGTTTCCATGTCGTGCACGTAATTGCGTGGCCAGGGGAAATCCCCAGCCACGCAATACCATTAAATACTAGACTGGCTTCACAGTCCTCCACGCTTCAAGTTGCACGGCACCGGCGCGAAGTCAAACTGGATGATGATGCGCATAGCGGCGAATGTCCAGTCAACATTCCGAGATTCATGGGAACCACCCGTCCCATGGGCGTCGCCAGGATTTTTTCTAGAGGGGGGCAAAAAAATTTTTTTGCCAAAAAATGCTTGTATTTCTCAACACATTCTCGATTTATCAGTTTTAGAGGGGGGCAGGGAAATTTTGCCCCCCCCCCCCAACACATGAAATTTACACCACTTTGTCTTCGCGCCTCTTTTTCTTTTTCTTTTTTTCTTTTTCTTTTTTCTTCCTTTTTTTTTTTTTTTTTTTTTGCTTTTCCAGGGGGGGGGCAAGTGCCCCCCCTTGCCCCCCCCTCGCGACGCCCATGCGTCCCCCCCCCAAGATATCGTGTTTTTTCCCGCCAGGTTCCTCCATTTTCTAATAATCTTTGGAACTTAAAAATATTGGGACAGGTGGGATGGCCGGGGGGGGGGGGGAAGCACTCTTTTTGTTTGTTTACCTTCTCGCATGTCCTGCATGTCGGTGGGATGGGGGTTAATTGGATAGGGCACCCTCGTGCATAATCTGGTTTGAGCACGGCACCGGACCCGTACACATTTTGCGCCAACAATTTGTGGATCTCATGAATGGAGCCTAAAAGTAAAAGGTCACCATCAGCGAGCTTCTCTTTGTTTTAAAACGTACATCCTAAAAGACATGTTTATATGTCTCCTATTTAAAGCTTTAGTTTTCACCCAATTACCGCCACAAAATGATTTCCCATAAACGTTCATCTTTGTGCAAGTACACCGAGTTCCTCTCGTCCACATGTAATTTAGATTTTCGGAAGTGCGAGGTCGATTTTCGACACGATACAAATTTATCTTTCACGTCAGATGCCTTTTTCGAGGGTGATTTTCTTAAGAAATCAATGCATCAAAAGCAATTGCAAATTGCGTAGATTTTCTGCAAGTTAATTTTCCCATTCAAGGGTTCCGGAAGCGCGCCACCAAGGCCAGGTAAACTTTCAGGCTCTGTGCTGATTGGTCAAAAGTAATAACAGCAGCGTACGCGTGGCTAGAGCACATGCTGCGCTGGCGCGGCGCGCACATATTCACACGTGTGCTGCTTTTGCTAACTTGTGCATCCAGCAACTACTTTTGTACACATGTATTTGTAAATATTATGCAGGAAAAGCAAATTGGAGGTACATGTATGTAGTCTCAAGTTCCTTTTTATTTCCTTTGAAGAATAACATTATATTACAGATAACATTATGCAGAAGTATAACATTTATTGTCAGCCATTTATCGCAAGGTTACACATTGTGATCTGAAGATGCAACCAGGACAGGTTGTAAAACTGTTCCCTTGATCCTAGTAAAGCACGTTTCCAGTTCGAGTTGATTAAATTCGATTTTTGTAAGCTATTATTTCATTCATGGATGCCTCAAAATCTACATTAATATAAATTACAAATGTCTACTTCCAACTGAAAACAGCGACAAGTTTTACAAGACAAAGCCAGAAAAATTTTCAGATTTATTAGAATAAGAGACTGTGCACTTGTTTTACTTGCAGTTTGCTAAACCAACATCAAATGTGTTCAGGCATTTTCTGTCATGAATTGAAATGGTTGTTGGAGAGGATATTTGGGAGGCTATTTTCTTAAAACTTATTCATAAAACCTCCTTCCTATAATAATATTTTGGAGCTTAAAAATTAGAAGCACTCTGTACCCTGAAGGCTACTCTCAACTTTCTAGAAAGAAAAGAATTTCGACTGAAGTCTCTAGAGTGTTATATGTCACAAAAAACCTTTGATAGAAAGCTGATGGAATCCACTTTAACCCCACTAAAAATAATTGAGATCCTGCTGCAGTTTAAGCAGAACATATTAATATTCGGAGTTTTTTGTTTAATCCACATCAAGTTTGGCTGTGGTGTTGCAATTCAGGACAAATGATTCAGACCAGAATTTGTAATGACTCGAGTCAATGACTCGACTAAAGTCCGACTAATTGAGTCACAATTTTTGGTGACTCGACTCGAGTCACTGGGAGCAAATGACTTGACTCAACTCGAGTCTTTTATCAGAAGACTTGACTCGACTTGGGCGAAGGCTAATAAGACTCAAGTCCTAAAAATAAAAACAAAACCTTGCGAAAAATATTTGCAATGGCTTATGCCGTACGGTGCAAATTTTATATTCACGTCACTTTTCAAATACAGTACGGCAGAGCGACCGCTTGTCATTTACAAATAGTGTGTGATGTGTCATGTCTCAGACTCTCACCTCATGATTCTGAACACATAAAATACTATCCAGGAACTGGATTTTAAAAACATTTTCAAATTCTTTGTTTCATCATTGACTTAATTGGGAAATTTCTTTTAATTGCTCTTCGTTTCCAACACCAGCTAAATAGTAAATTTATGCCCTTTCTTTTAAAAATTTAATACATGTAGGTACATGCTTACTTTTAAATAATCAGAAACAGTTTCGTATTTAAATGCAATTTGGTTTTGATGTCAGCGATCGGCAATAAGAAATCTAGACCCAAAGCCAAACCATGAGTTTCAATTCTTGTTAAATATTTGTTATACAAATGACTTTCTCTCTTGTCTTTATTTGTTTTATAGCGTTCAAATATTTGTGACTAAAATTGACTCAAGCTAAATATTTGACTTGACTCGACTCGACCTTCTTGACCTAATGACTCGACTCAACTTGAGTCACTTCTTTAAAATGAATCGACCCGACTCGAGTCACTTCTATTAAATGACTCGACTCAACTCGAGTCACAAAAATCAGTGACTCGTTACAACTCGGAGTCAGACGTCGAAGGGCTCTCCGCTTCAGCCACAGAAGGTGATGATGTTGCCTGATTACAAAAAAGAAAAGGAATTAAGTATTAGACTTGAAGAAGTGCTAGGTGGTCTTATAATGCAGTAAAGAAAGTGCATGACCCTATACACCTGGCACAAAAAGAAACTAAGCAGTTTTTATAATCATCCTTATTACTTTTCTTGGTGAACGAAAATCTGAAATATACGTTTTGTCATGGGAACTTCTGTGTAAGAAATAATGAGAGTGCAAGCACTGAAGCTCCTGAAACCCCAAAACTAAAGGTTGCTTTTAGCGAGTTTTTCAATGGGCATTGCAACACACAGTTGAATGCCTCGCATTCAATTGTGTGTTTCCATGCCTTTTCATACAACAAGAAATCGACAAGAATCTATCATCTAGAGCTCTCAATCTTTTTCCTAGTTTTAATGAAGCAAATGCTTTGAATATATGTCAGTGTTTAAGACAGTCATATCACCTGCTCGGAAATGTGGGTGACTGGTTCAAATGGGATGTTGTCCTGCTTCGCTGAGGTGCTGTCATCTTTGCTACCTACTGCTGTATCCTCCTCTTCGCTAGATGAGTTTGTCGTAATACTAGCCACGTCCTCTGACTTCAGCTTCTGGGCATGGCTGGCGTTGCTGCTACCTGGAGGCTCAGAAAATGCTTTTGAGATATTAGGATCCCAAGAGTTGACATGGTTGTCAGGATGTTCTCCTGCATTAACGAAACATAGAAGGAACACTACATGTTCAATAAATTGTAACAACTTCATTTGCAATTTTGAGGATCAACAATTGTTGATTATTTTACCAATGGGAATTGTATGTACCGTTTATATTAACATGTACACTATAAAAAAAATACATTGGATTCTCAGCAAGTTTCTACAGAAAAACTAATGCTAAGGCCAAAAGAAAAAAGTCTCCGGTTTCTGGTATGCGCACGCGTCGCCGTAGCCATGCACGTCGGCAAAATGAAAACTTTTTTTTCAATGAAAGATGATGTCTCAAAACCGCCAAACTCACTGGTTTGACTGGAATCCTTCTGCTGCACAATTTTAACGTGTTTTTAGATGGGGTTATGATCGAGAATAAGCTTTATGTGGCCTCTCTGGTCTCCCATAATATTTGCACTAAGTTTAGTCGGGCACCATTTGCAGTCATCAGCCGACATTTGAAGCAAAAAAAACAGGTAAAAAAAAAAAAAGCCGCGTCACTGCACCACTTTTTGGGCATGCTCCATACCAGAAACCGGAGACTTTTTTTTTTTGGCCTAATGAAAGATTTCATCTTGAACAAAATTTACCTGATTTCTTGTCCAACACAGGTTTTGGTTTGCTAGTCTCTGTTGCTAGTGGTGCGAGACCAAAGCCTCTTGATCCAGATGTGGTTGTTGTCCCTGTTGCTGCCATCTGGGCAGTGGATGCTCTGCATGTCTCTGGCTTGAATGGTTTGAAGACAAATGGGCAGTATGAATCGGGCGCCCCCTTTTTCGAGTCAAATTCTAATGAGTTTGATGTGGTTTTGGTGGTCGCCCGTGCAGTTGTTTTGGGTCTTGCTCCACCAAATGTGGAAGAGCCAACTGCAGAAGAGATGTTCCTTGGTAGTGATGACACAACTGTGGTTAGGTCATTTGTTCCGTAAGTAGATTGTTTGAAGGCAAGTCCTGCAGACTGAGTGCCATTGGAGCTTGTCCCAACGGTGGACAGTTTGAAGTTGAATCCTGATGCAGACTGAGCTTCACATGAGCTGGTCCCAGGAGCCGAAACGCCAAAGTTCAATCTGGAAAATATGGCTGGGGTTGAGCAGGTTCCAGAGGCAAAGCGAACTTCTCCGGAAGACTGCTTTGTAGTTTTGCTACTTCCCACTGGAGTCTGCCCCGAACCAAATCCTTTACTTTTGGTAATGGTTAATGGGGTCTCTGATGCTGGCTGTCCTGAGAAGGATCCTGAAGACAGAGGTGTGGTTCGACCAGTACAGGAAGCAGATACTGTTGTGGTGGTCTTGGCGCCAAGTGAGGACTGTCCTAAGCCATGTTCCGAGGTACATGTAGAAGCAGCTATAGATGAGCTGATTTGGGGTGGTAACAGCCCGAAACTGAATCCTGAAGCAGGGCTGGTTTTGGTTATGTTCATAGCAGGCGCAGACTGTCCAAAGTTAAATTCTTGAAAAGTCTGGGTAACGGCGTGGCTGGCTGCAGGAAATGGCTGTCCAAACAATAATTGTGAAGCTGTGGTTGCTGTTGTTGCGCTAGTTCCTGGTGTGGTCTGTCCGGAACCAAATCGAGAAGTAAAGGTGGCTGTGGTTGTGTTGGTGACAGCTGCAGACCCTCCAAAGCTAAAGCCTCCATAAGACTTGGTTGTGGCTTTGCTGTTTGCAAGTGGTGGCTGTCCAAAGCAAAATCCTGAAGCAGTGCATGCTGTAGTTGTACCGGCTCCTGGTTCGGTTTGTCCAGAATCAAATCCTAAAGTAGAGGTGACTTTTGTTGTTTTGGTGACAGCTGCAGTCTGCCCAAAGCCAAACCCTCCAAATGACTGAGCTGTTGGTTTGCTGCTTGCAAGTTGTTCCTGTCCCATACTGAATCCTGAGTTAGCTAAGGTTGGGATGGTTTCTGAAGCGGTCTGTGCAAAGCCCAATTCCGAAGTTCTTGTGGCTGTGGTTGTGTTAGTGGCAGGTGCAGGCTGTCCAAAGAATGGACCTCCAAAAGTCTTGGTTGTATCTTTGCTGGATAGAAGTGGCTGGCCAAAGAAAAATCCTGAGGTACAGCTCGTAGTGGTTGTTCCTGATGTGATCTGTCCGGAACCCGATCCTGAAGTAGAGGTCACTGTGACTGTGTGGCTTAATCCTCCAAATGACTTCGTTGTTACTTTGCTGGTTGCAAGTAACTGATGCCCAAAGCCAAATCCTAATGACGAAGTTCCTCTCGTGGTACTGGTACCTGTTGGCATCTCTTTATTGGAACCATTAAATCCTACAGCACCTGTGGCTTCAGTTGTGTTGGAGACGGGAGTAGGTTGTCCAAAGCTAAATCCTCTAAAAGGACTGGTTGCAGGTTTGCTGGTTGTATCTGGTGCATGTCCAAAGCTGAATCCTGATGTGCAGGTGGGGGTGGCCATGTTGGTTGTTGATTTGGCCTGTACACGGCCAAATCCAAAATGAGAGTTTGTTGTGGCTGGTTGTGTGAAAGATGCAGACTGTCCAAAGCTAAATCCCCTGGCTGACTGGGCTGTGCCTTTGATGGCTGCAGAAGGTGCAAGTCCAAAGCTGAATCCTGATGAAGGGGTGGCTGTGGTTGTGCTGGTTCCTGATTTAGTCTGTCTAGTACCAAATCCCAATATAGAGGGGACTGTGGTGGAGTTAGTGACAGGGGCTGACTGTCCAAAGCTCAATCCTCCAAAAGACCTAGTTGTGATTTTGGCACAGTTTGCAGTTGCAGACTGTCCGAAACCAAATCCTGAAGATTTGGTTACTGTGCTTCTCTCAGCCCCAGCCAACTGGTGAAAGCTAGAGACCTCACTTGTGTTTGCCCTGGTCCCTATGCCAAACCCAGAAGACGTGGTGGCTTTGGTTGCACTGGTTCCTGATGCAGCTTGTCCAAAGCTACATCCTGTAGACCAAGCAGCACTTGTGCTGGTCACTGAACTGGGATTCTTTTTTTTATTCCTACTTTTTGTTGTGAGTGCCATCTTTGTCTGTTGAGAAGTCATGTTCCAAGAGCTGCCACATTCGCCCATATTCGCCTGTTGTCCGAATGCGGATGAAGCTTTGTAAAAGAGAAGAAAAATTATATTATAAAAGACTCGTCAGGTTTGAGAAGTTTGACAAGATTGGTTGAGTGTACCGGTATGTGCCATAAAAAGATTGAATGGACAGGGAAAACTTAACAGTACCGGTATGTCTGGACATTTATGTATGCATCTTAAACATTATGCGGTATTCTGGATACTTACTTTCCTCAGGTAACAATTTCTTGATTTCCTCAAGTGGCTGAAACAGTTGCGTCTCTCTATTTACCAAAGTACCAATGCGCAGCAATCCCTGTCTTTCTTTGAACTCCCAGTTTGGTAATTTATTGTCATATGGCTTCTTGCTTGAATGGCTTTCCAAGGCTTTTTTGATTAGAGGATACATTGCCAGGAAATCACAGTCTTCTGAAGTTTTACAAATGGCGTCTGCGGCTTCCAGGGTGTCTGTCATCTGCTCTATGGACGACTTGATGGTTTTATGTCTGTCGCTAATTTTTTCTTTTTGCACTTTAGAAATTTGTGAAATCTGAAAGAGGAGTTGTGCTTCTTGAGAAGAAACATCATCACGGACTTTGCTAGAAAATTCCTGTACATGCTTCCTCATACTATCAAGGTTATCATCAAATTTTTGACTCGTCAATCCAATGGTGTCTAAAGAGGATATAAAGTCAGAGCGAATTAGCTGGAGCTTGGCCAGTACCTCTTCGGTAGACTTCCTCCTGTTTGAAGCTGCTGATTCCAAGTCAAGAATCGGATGAGGAGTGTTGCTTGCATCTTTTCTCTCATGATCAGCAGAACAATCTTTGCACATCAGTTCCTCGCATGTTTCACAAAAAAATAGTTTCTTGTTAGCCGGGTGCTTTGGGCATTCTGGCATTCCCCTCTGCTTCCTAACACTGTCGGCAATCTTTCCGCAACTGAGTTCCTCCAGTGAAGCGACAGTGTGCTGTGCCAATACAGCAGCCATGTGGCGGGGAACTGTCTGGCAGTTGAGGCAAAGATCCATACTACAGTCAATGCATCTAGACACAGCCCTCTTCTCTTGTTCACAGGACCCGCAGATCTTCATGTTGCTGACCTGAGCTGCCCTCTCTTGAACAGTGATCTCTTCAAGCAGGCCGACTAGATGAAAGTTGGTCTTCAACTTTGCCACACCCTCCCTGGGCAAATCAGATTTTTGATTGCAGATGGGGCACTGAATGGAGGCACTGGCAAAACTCCCGTGTGACGCATATTCATGCAATGTTACGAGGCATGCTTGGCAGAAAGTGTGCAGGCAGTTGAGCGCTTTTGGCTGCTGGTATCTCCCATGGCATATGGGGCACTCCAGAAACTTCCTGCTGATGCTACCAAGAACTGAATTTACATCTGCCATTTTGACTGTCAGGTTCCAGTGCACCTATTGAACAAACAACAAATGATGTTTTATTTAATCATTAGATAACTATGATTTGATAAGAGAGGGACGTTAAATAACAGTGGCCCCTGACTTGCTGAAACTCCAGGAAGTTTATTTGAGGATGTCAAAATCCCACAACAGAACAAATGTTGAAATCTGGAATCATTTCATTAAGGATGACTCAGCCTTGTTTGGAAGTTGTAGACCTGCATAAAACATGTTTGTGCATAAAACCTTCTTTGAACACCATGTGAACCAGATTTGCTGTGGTTTTTTTTTTGTAGCTCAAAAACATTTCATTTATTTCTTGTTTATTTACTTTTTAAAATTGCCTTTCTTTTTTCCATTTTTTTGAAATCAATTAATGTATGCATTGTTTGTGGGGCCGGGGATGCATAAATGGTTTGACAAAATCATCTGCTTTCAAGTTCTGCAAAAAAGGTTTAAATTGCAGATTTAAGACAAGATTGGATGCAAATGACCATACCTTACAAATCTTGAGACGAAATCCTGCGGCTCCTAATCTCTCTCCTTTGGATCCCAAGTCATCAGCTGAAAGTTCTTTAACAGTCAATAAATAAGGAATAAGAAGGAATCTGACCGTAAATTTTTTTCACAGATACCGCCCTCTTTGTGATTACGTGGTAATTTTTGTTGATGGGCTAATCTTCAGCGTAACGGGACTATGTTCACTGAAATGACCCAAAAAATTAGGCCAAAAAAAAATTTGTTCTGCTTCTGATTACCCTACCTACCCTATTTTGAAAGCCCCTACCCCAATTTTTTTATGTTTTATTTTTTTTTTGGGGGGGGGGGGGCGGGGGGGGGGGGCAAAATGAGCACAAAACCAGAAAATTATTAATGACCGCCCTTGACTACATGCAGACACCTCCATATGACCTCACAAAACAAATTTGCCCCCCCCCCCTCAAAAAAAACCCTCCCTACCCCATTTTCAAATAAATCAGAATCAGAACTGATTAATGTTTTGGCCTTACCAAATAAATCACAAAGATGGCAGTTTCCCTGAAATGATCTATGGAGAATTAAGACACGTTTTCTCTGCATACATGTATGACTATAGTATGAGCGGGAAGTAAACACATGAACATGATGAGAGTGGATAACCCAATAAATGTGGCCAATTTACTGGACTACCTCCGTAAATGAGGCCACACTGCCACCATCTTAACTTGACAAGGAGGGCATTGTTTGTTTTTTTGTAAATTTTACATTCAGACTTTCCTTCTAGTTAGATATTTACATTTTGTAAGACCACTCATGCCTTCTCAAATATTAGCAATGAAAACACATCTATAGGCAGTTCCACAGACGTCTACTTAAAGGGAAAATACAACATTTGCAAACATCAAAAAATAAAACTACCAAATCATTTTGAAATACCTTGCTGGACTGTTAGTGAATGACAGTGTAAAGCATCCTGTAAAATCATGGCACCTGGTGCACTGTCATTTTCAAGAAAAGTGGTATTTTTGTATCAATTTCCAACGCTGATCGGCCGATTAGCGTTGGAAAAAAACTGGCTTTTTTTCAAATACTGGCCCCAGTTGACCATCGCACTTGTTTGCAATCGATTACACACCTATGAACGGGTACAAGCCAGCTAGACTGGTTCCCTGGAACCAGACTCAGGAAAATGATTGTTTTTCTTGGTTTTTATATAATTATAGCATTTTCGAACCCAAAACCTCAAAAATGTCAGTGTAACTATATTTGCTATATATTTCCAATCCCCCAATTCCATCCATTTCTGAACATTACAGCAAAAGCAAATGATGTATATTCCCTTTAACTTTGCATGTATTTTCCAGAGGAAATTTGTAGGCTTGCTTGCTTGTACACGTTTGAGTGTAACTAACTTCCAATATGGCGATGCTAACGTGCAAAAGCATGCTGGCAGCGTGACCTGCAGCATGTTATTATACAAATATTGAGTGGCTCAGTGTGGAATGGGAGGAATATTATCGCTCGATAAAATCTGGACTTTTCCATTTCATGAGGCGTAGCCAAGTGAACTGGAAAAGTCCAGATTTTACTAGGTATGTGAACCTAACCAGTAACCACCACCATTTGTATATAGGGGCGCATAAGGCAGTTTGAACTTTGAAGACTGTTTTTGTGGTGAAATCTGACGATTTTGATTGGGGGTACGAGTGAAAATGGTCATGAAAAACACATTAATGGTTACCATATACGGCCACATACTTAGGACTACTAAGTACTATCATTACTATCGCCCGACCATGTCCAAATGTTAAAAAAGCGATCCGTAGAGTCCTAGTTACTCGGACTAGGCCTAGGTCAGGCTATCACTATATTAGGCATGCCACCATAATCAGTGTACAGTGCCAGCGTCAATCTATTCGGCACGGCATCAATCATCAAGACTAGTGAGTCCCGCTTTCAACATGTTCAACGACGGATTCAGCACAGCTTTCGCTACTGTGGTCAGACGGTGCTTGTGTTGGATTGTTATACCGTTCTTATTCCTCCATGGTTAGCACTATACTACTAATTACTAGCTCTACTAAGTGGAGCGTTGAACTACGGTAGTTCAACGCTCCACTCAGTAGAGCTAGCACTACATGCTAGCAGTGGAAGAGCGAGGAAGGTTACCGGGAAACTAGCCCCACTAGTGTGGCCGCGGTATGCTGCGCTGAAGTTCAGCGCAGCATACCGCGGCCACATTAGTGGGGCTACCGGGAAACGTACCTGCATGGGTTTACAGGTTTAATACAAGTCTTCTGACTTACTTATCCGCACAATGCTCGTTTTTCACTCCAGTCCAAGTATATCCCGTGACAGTTCATCTACTAGTACTAGTACTCTAGTAGTAGATAGTATATTACACGTATGCATGTAATTAACCATATGAAGCATTCCTCAGCAGATAGTCGGGAAAGGGCGTTCTCATCAATGGTTATTGCACATTTGTTGAGCGGGAATTCCCCATGTCGGCACTTTCGGACAAAAGGTGGCGCTATTCGTCGTGTCATAGATGGTTATTTTACACAATGATGATTACCCATCGCCAAAAAAGTGTCATTATGAAAAAGACCGCCCTGGGGGCTTGTACGGTTCCCCTTATTTTTTTTTTACACAAACCCTGCCTGAAGTTCATGGCCCACATCACAATAGCAAAAAAAATGAGGGCAAGCAAGTCGTGAATTGGCCGGCGAGGGCAATTTCGGGCCTATTTACTGACCTGCAACGACAGTGGATGTAGTGAGTATACTACAGCGGCAGACCGCGGTCGTACAATAAATGGTCGCCGCAATATTAAACGTTCATGTCGTCATATATTGCAGGATTCCTTTGACGACCCGACGCAGATTCACGACGCAGATTCACGACGCAGATTCACGCAGATTTCGGGCCTATTTACTGACCTGCAACGACAGTGGATGTAGTGAGTATACTACAGCGGCAGACCGCGGTCGTACAATAAATGGTCGCCGCAATATTAAACGTTCATGTCGTCATATATTACAGGATTCCTTTGACGACCCGACGCAGATTCACGCATGGCCTTTGGACGCCTGGGTTGCTTCGTTGCTCGAGGACGGTGTCCATGAAGCGGGCTGGCCGCTGACAGGTGCGCCGTAGCTCCCCCGCCCCCGTTCATGTTAGATGACGGCGACTAACGTTAACGGAAATGAAGCGATGAATCACAACCAGATAAACTTAAGATTTGTAAAATATTCCAGATGAATCCGGATGTTCGGCACACAAATTGAGATGAGACAGTGCACACATAAAAAAAAAAAAATGCCCGAACAGAAAATTAAAGTTTCCATTGACATCACTTTTTGTCCCACTTGATTTAGTGAATATTTAATTAATTACATGTAATTTGTTGAATTTTGACTAATATATTTTTGGTTCATCATTTTTGATCAAATTTGGCTGTTGTATGTGAATTGGACTTAATTAGCCATGATGTTTTGTACCCTCCCCCAAGAATAACACGACACCCGTGTCAAATGTAATCAAACAGAGGAATGAAACATCAATGTTCTCCAAAAAGTTAGATATTAGGTGGATTTTCTTTGACCCACACCTATAGGTAAACACTAAGCAGGCTGCAGACGAACGTCACCTTCAATAGATGGCGCGCACCAGTCCTGTAGTTCCCTTTAATAATCAACAGATCATCAAACTCTTTACTGTCCGCTCACCCATAGCATTATTATAATTTAACTTTGTTACAAGGTCCTATTGATGTACGTATTGTGGCCATTGCATTGGTAGATCAGTGTTATTTGCATAATTGCGTCCAAGGGGCAACTGCTGCATAAAAATTGGCCTTACACAGAGCTATTTAGACTGTATAGACGTGTGATTGTTTGGTTTAGACTGTATATTATAACTGTTCAGATACAATCGTGCAATATTGCGTTTCCTATACATAGTTGCCATTGTTGAGAACAGCTGGCTGATGAATATTGCATTGGAGGACAGGACGACTGCAACATTGAACCAACTTGGAATCAGAAAATAAGGTAAGTTTGATATACAGGCCGACCCCAAATAAATGCAAGCCTACAACATTTGCCTTTAAAAAAAGAGGGATCGGTGGATTTTTATGTTCTGAGTATGGGATTAAAGGTGTGAGCTTTTTCTTTCAATACTGAAAACAATCATGAAAATAGCACTTCGGGTTGCTGGGAAAATGCCAATTATGTAAAAGTAGTCATTTTTTCATCCTGTACAAGCATGTCGTGTCTATTCTCTTGAATCCCAGAAATATCGGAATGGCAACAGGCAAAAAGGCATCATCGCAACCCCTTGGACTGGAGCAGACTAACAACAGATGGGGGGTTATTGTCGTTATTGCTGCCCATTTAAACCTAGCCATTCAGGAATGCGGCGCAAGGAGTTGTGATGTCTTCTTTCTGAGCTGGAGAGATGAGTTCGACACGAACGCTCAGGAGACTGCAGCCGTCCAAAGTATCTTGGCATCCGTCGCCAATTTCAGCAGTAAGTATACGAACGGGCCACTTTTCGGTGAATAAGGCCGCTGCAACAACGTACGTCATATTATTTTTACAAACAGATGTGAAAACTCATTCTATAATTCAAAAATCCATTTTGACAATCTTTGATTTCTTTACCTGGAAGCAAAGTTCATAGATCGCTTAAATAATCTCATATTACTGTTGGTGGCCATGCACAACATGTTCCAGCGCTCTTATTCAGTCAATCATACATCTACACCATAGAGGCGTGAGTTATTGTGGAGTCATGGCCGAGCGGCAGCGGCGGCGGAACGGGTTTGAAACTGGGGGGGGGGGGGGGGGGGGGGGCATCACCAAAAAGGGGCACTTGCAAACCCGTGCTGAAATGTCGACACGTTTTTTCCACCGGACACTTGGCCTTTCATTTCGAGGGGGCACTTTAATACTCGAGGGGGCACATTTGTGGTCGCAAAAGGGGCACTTGGGGAAAATCTGGGGGGGGGGGGCAAATCCCCCCCCCCTCGGTTCCGCCTCCCCTGCCGAGCGGTTACTGGACTGCACCGGACTCAAACTCCGTGGTGTTTCTAATCAGCAGAGTGTGGGTTCGAGTCCCGGTCTTGACACTTGTGTCCTTAAGCAAGACATTGAACCATGATTGCTTCGTCCTTCGGACGGGACGTAAAGCCGTAGGACCCGTGTGCTGTATAATGCTCCCTAAAGAATCCAGTAACAAAGAGAAGGGGTTCGCCCCGGTGTTTTAGTGGCAGTGCGTTTATCTTAAGCCATAAGTCTGCACTTGTAAGGAAGAAGAAGAGTACAATTTTGCGGGGTCTACCCGATGTTCCCCAATACCTATGTTCCCCAGTAGGGTAGAGGTGGGGGCATTCATTTTCTTGACGGGACATAAATAGGTTTCAAACAATGAAGAAGCGCTTCTTTTTTTTATCATCGTGCGTCCCTTATTTACGCCACTGCATGTACACTGACCGAGTTTGGTTTTCCTGCCTGTTTAGATCTGATTGGCGGGTTTTTGAACAAACGCTTCGGCTGCAAATTGACCGGAGTCATTGGGGGTTTGCTGGCAGTGACCGGTACCTTCGGAAGCGTTTGGGTGCGAGACATATCTCAGCTGTACGTCACGGCTGCAATCGCAGGTATTTCAAATTCGGTTTCAGATATTTACACAACTTTCAGATATTCACACAAAGTCCCAGGTCAAAGTTGATCCGGAATTCGTTTCCTATGCGCCTGATACTTTCCTGGGTCAATGAATGACACTTTTCCGATGAGATTTGAAGGTTTGCATGGTGAAAGGGTAAGGCTTCCAGGCACCATATAACCCCACTTCACCGTTGGAATCCCTCAGTCTCGATCCTGACGACGGGCAGAGCATACTGTCCGAAACGTTGAGTACCCTCCGGTTCTTTTTCGAACTCACAAAAGAGATTTTGCCATTTTACACTTTTCCGGTTCAAATGACCCGGAAAATGAGTCAAAGAAGTGTAATTATGACCCGGAAAAGTGTCATTTTGACTTGGAAAAGTGTCAGGCCCAAGACCGGATTCCTGGTCAAGTCTGACGCGGGATATTTTTTTAGAGTGTAAGTTCCACTAGAAGCAATAAAGTCATCAATATAATAATTCAGCATGGAGGCATGACTCTCAAAAGCCAAATTGTGTCTTTATAAATGGGTGTAGCCTCTTTTAACCATAGTGTTAGCCCTTTGAAAAGCCTGAATTCTATTGGCGTTTGTAGTCTCTGCTCAATTCGCGCCGTGGCTTCACCGCCCTATTCCCTGTCAAAAGAATATCCTGCATGTAGTGTGTTTCCGTTTATACTGCAGGTGCTGGCATTGGAATTACTGTCAACACCGCTGTGGTTGCGGTCGCGTTAAACTTCAAGAAGAAATACAAGACCGCCAACTCTTTGGCATACGCTGGCTGCGGCACAGGGAAAATGGCCATGCCGCCACTCATCCAACTCCTCCTGATGAGTTATGGCTGGAGAGGGGCGATGCTTATTATCTCGGCCATTGCTGCAAACATCGTGGTATTCGCGACACTTTTCCGGCCACCTCGCAAGCACGTAAAAGCAGAACCGGATATCAATATCATCAATATCAGTGACAACCTCACTGAGGAAACGGAGGAAGATTTGTTGAACAGGCAGCTTCAACCCGTAATCGGAAACGATGACGTAGTTGAGATGGAATCAGCAACCGATGCTTCGTCTGGTGGTCTGGATATCACGTCGAGCTCCTTTGTGAAATACACCAATGCTGAAGACAGGAAATCAGGCGGCTACGAGTCTCTGCAAACCGGCCCCAGCGAGCCCAAACCGAAAGTCAGTTTCATCAATAAAGTGTCATCAGAGCTTGGACTGACTGTTTTTCGCAAAAGCTACCGCTACAGCCTGCTGTGTCCTCTTGCACTCACGGCCAGCATTTCTTACTTTGGTACCCCGCTGTTCATCATTCCACGCGCGCAGAGTATCGGTGTGGCGCCCTCTAGTGCCGCCCTTATACTCAGTATGAACGGCGTCGGTGGCCTGCTGGGTCGTCTTGCCAACGGACTGCTCATCAGTTGCAAGTTGTCCGCTGAGATCGTCTGCTCCATCTGTGCGGCTGTGGCCGGTGCGTCCTTGCTCCTCCTGAACCTTGACAACTACATTTGTTTGTTCGTCGCTTCTTTCCTCCAGGGCTTCTTTACTGGTGTGATGTTTTCCATTCTCATTGTCCTGATCCGGCGTTACGTTGGCTGCAAACAATTCTCTGTTTGTGTCGGCTTCTATTACTTCTGTCTCGGCATCGGCAGTTTGGTTGGACCTCTATTTGCAGGTATACAGTCAAAAGCTTGATTTTCTTATCAAACACCAGAGCGCCTTCAATGTGACATGCTTTGTTATTTTAATGTGTCGACTCACGCGTATCACAGGGTGGGTTCGAGTAGCTTGCTCGGAGCATAAAGACAGACGGGTTATCCATGACAGCCAGGCTAATCGAACGCTCAACATTGGGCCAACACGATCCTCACGTGACGCCCGTCGTAGCCACTGACAA